GTAATACCCATGTCATTATACAAATTTGTGTCCTCATAAAGCATATAAACACACACACACACACACACACACACACACACACACACACACACACACACACACACACACACACATTATTTTATTTATTAATGTTTTTATTTTATTTCTGTAACTCTGATTCGAATGGACTTGAAACCCTCTGTAGTCATTGTGTTCACTAGGGGGCGATATAGAGGTGCATGATGGTATTGTGGACATACAAGTCAGTTTAATATTGTTTGAGACTTCATAATTGGCAGTACCTTTGTATAGGCCTACTTTCGCTACTCAATCCATCTCTTTCATTTCATTCTCTGTATGCATCCGCTCCTAGTCTCATCATGTGCCTCCTTCCACACCCCAGTGGGTTCCATAGGTTTACCTAATGGATTATTACGTAGTCGATCAATTAAGTCATTTAAGTTTGTTAGATGCAGTCAATGGCTTGGAAAAGACCGTGAAGACTTAAAGTGATGTTTACTTCTGTTCGAGATCCAGAATCGGGATGCATGCCAGTGAGATCAACGTTAGTTTGCACTTAAGGTTTCCAGTGTTGAGGTTTTTATCCCTTTGACAGTTAAATAAATAATCCTAGATTAAGATCAAGTCCTGAAATGGCTTCAAAATTTTTAGCACGCTCTTTCATTTCATGCACCACCAGGCAAAGGTGTTAAGAATAGAAGTATAGGCTCATAGCGCCTGAGCTTGACTTGAGGAGTTGATGAAATAATCATTTTTGTTGTTGTTGTATTTAATAGGCTACATTTTACGAACTAAAAGTAAATCACTCTCTTTTAATGGTGGTGATGGGAGTGTGATTAAGTATTTTAGTGCATGCGGCTGAATGTTGAGATGAAAGTTGTAGCCTGGACATTGGACATTAAGTCCAGAATAAAAATGGACTATCTGGAGAATCGCGAAAGGGGGGCAATTGTGTATGCGAGAATGTTAGGACGAGAGTAAAGTGGATTTTCTGACGAAAAGAATGAGAGAGCGAGAGAGACAGAGATAGAGAGAGAGAGAAAGAGAGAGAGAGGAGAAGAAGGGAGGGTGGGGAGGGAGGACAACACACACACACACACACACACACACACACACATACACACGCACTTCATATACAAGACAGAGGAGCGGAAACGGGTCGAATCCTACTTCAAATTCTCTTTCCTCTCGGCTTGTCGACCGGGGAAAACAAACCGACCCGAGGCACAGCGAATGGGGATTTACTAATTAACTACTTACCGAGAGATGCACACCTCCTCAGCGCCCTCCCTCCCTCTCATTCAGTTCCCTCGGTCGTGGTTATTAGTGTAGAGGTGCTTCCACGGATCTCGGCTCCGCGCGCCCCCGGATCACACACCAGGAGAGTGAAAACGCACACGGGTTAGATATTTTCTACTTTAGACGGTTGGAGAACACGGTCAGGAAAGGCTGAGGTATGTCATGTGCACTGTTTTATAAAAACATTTATGATGACAAGATGATTTCACAAAGTGGAATTTATTTTTGAACTTTTTTGCCGTTTTAAAAAAATAGGCTACACATATTTTATGGATGCTTTTTTAAAGTTTTGTTTAATTATTTGTATTATTATAGCCTATTGTAAATATTTCAAAGTACGTTTCTTGTTCATTTATTAGCCCAAAGATGTGTTTTCGTACAATCATATTAAATTACATTATAAGGAAATACAATAGGCCTATAGGCTATATTATAAGGAAAGTATGACAAACCCTTTGAGTTTTGTGTAATTTTGAAAAGCGCTGACATCCGCGTGCACACTCGCAAACAGTCTCGCTCGTGCTGTTCTTGCCACGTCGGATTAGCTGTTAAGTGTCTCTATTTGTTAACGCTGTTCGTTGAGCCCTCACCTACACGCCACACTATCAATCAGTCAATTAAACAGTCACTCTCACGGCAACTAGAGACGTTTAATGTGGACTAAGCGCCGGGTGTGTGTGTATCCCTTCGATCTGCCAAATGACCAAGCTCAATTTACTCTCACAAGTGCATAAAGTGTGCTGCTCCATTCATTCATTCTTGTCATGTTGGCCACTGGTCAAATGCGAGCGAGAGGAGGACAAAATTCACTTTCTACTCATATTTATTTCGATACATTTTCCGTTTAGTTGCCGGTTTTGATTTCTTATGGTCTGGGACATTTTGGAGTTTGGGAAATGGAATCCTACTAGAATATTAATTATTGAAATATTAATTGAGGAGTGAGACAGAATGAGTTGGCTATGCTTAAATTGTATTTATAATAGGCCTATTAGGCATGTTACGTTTAATGTTGAATATCCTCGTAATTTGTGTGGAGAATTTAGGTTTAGGCCAAACGTTGTCAGAAATTTGGGACTTGAAAACTTTTTTTTTGTGCACCTGCGCACAAATTCAGGTCATGTCATAATAAAACAGCTTTTGCATACAGGAAAACTTTAAAACATTCTGTTCAATGTGTACCCGTTAACATCTTTAAGAGTTCGAATAGGCCGAGCCTGTATTGCTACCTAATTCGGTTAGTTCGTTAAAAGAAAAAAAAGAAAGAAAAAAAGTGTCTACCACGGCCGATACTTTGATGCATATGTTAGCACAGTATATCTCATCAATTATTACTTACACTATTTTTTTGATAAGTGTTTATAAATCAATAAACAGATATTTAGCTTTAACCATTTCAGATGCACCTCCTACTGATCTATCCATTTTTTTTTTAAATCTGCCGAAAACCTTGCGAGTTTTGAAAACTCGGGTGCTCGGGTTTTGTTTTTGCTCTTTTTCGTTTACTTTACAGCCCTGACTCGGCTCATCTCGTAAGTTCGTTTGTGACCAAGAGTTCCAGCACTGTACTAAATCTTGAAAGTGTTGAAGAAAATCATAGAAATGCTTTGAAAATGACTTGTATGCAAGATGCACTGTAAAAATATGGTTCAAAGAATTGGAATTTAAAAAAAACAACAACTTTGGGTTTAAATAGAAACGAAAACAAAAATGTAAGTTTTTGTTAGTGATTGTAAACATCGTTTTTATATATATAATCATTTATTAAATAAGCTACAATTTATTAAAATAAGCTTTCGTTGGTAATAATAATAGGCTACATACTTTTTATTTAGAAATGGTTCGTAGATTATTTTGGAAATTTGTTTAATTTGTTAAATTTAAAGTTTGATTAAAATATTTACTTTGAAAGTAGGCTATGCATCTTGTGGCAGAGTAATATTTAAATTTTGATAAGTAATTTTTGTGTGCAATGTTTAGTGAACTATACACGTAATAGATAGCCTAATATATTTATAATAATAATTATTATTATTATTACTGTTGTTATTATTATTAGTCCGAAAAAATAATTGGAGGGGAAAAAAGAAAGTGAAGACTATTTAAAGACTTGATTGAGAATCACGGGGATTTTCCACAGGAGTGATTTTGTTTGTCATTGATGTAAATATCCCTAATTGTCATTTTGAGGCTGTACCCTTGCCTTAGTCCTTGAACATGTAGGGCCCTATTGCATCTTCCGAGTTCAATGCATTCTTTACGTGTTTTCACATTATTTGATTTCAATCAAAGTAATTAACCGCAGGATGTCAGTCCACGAATTTGGACAATATCCAGAACATCCATTAATTCAATCACTTGCCCGCCTGAGCCGTTCCTCTGCGTCTCACTCCTGCGTCTATCTCTCTGTCAATATTTGTAGGAAATATTTCCGACATTAAATGGCATTTGGGGATATCTCTCCTCTCCACATCACTCAGTCACTCCCCCCTCCCTCCACCCCAGCACTGCCTTTGCTTAGTCCGCGTTACCGAAACTGCTCACCTGGCCAACTTTGTTTTAAGTCATATGCTCCATTACTTGAAAGAAGAAAAACTGCAGAAGATAATGATAATATGTAAGAATGTGTCTGACATGATTGTTAATAATAAGCATAATAATGATAATCATCGTTCTCGTCATATAGAAGGCTATTCTAACATTTGCAAGCATTTTAAAAATAAATAATTAGCTTCATACAATTAAACAATTTTAAAATAGCCTATTGTGCATTTTGTAAACATTCATACAGAAAACTAAAACTTTATAATTTAACATCGTGAAATATTTGTCCGTAGCCTATTTTTTTTTTATTTGTGAACCTTCACTCTTTACAAGTCACGGCTGAAACTTGTTTTTAATAACACTCTTTAGTTTTGGGGGGAAAAATCAAATTCAACACATTTTATGGGCTTACATTTTTTCGGCTATCTACAGATTCTCCATGATTAGAAAGGTCTTAAGATTGCATTTTTATTTAGAATGAAATGAGCGCTCCAATAAACGCACTGATTCTCTGACTCCAAAAAATAACTCAATATTGAGTTTTATATAATAATAAAAATATGTACAGCGTAAAAAAAACTATTCTTGTCTAACGTCAAACTTCATGTGCCATTTTCGCATTTATAGACCTATTTTAGCAGAATGCGGTTACTGCAACGGACTTCAGGCCAATGTCGCTTTGTAAAATTACTTAATGGGATATTTATATGAAAATTGCTCAGGAAACTGCGAGTATGTTATTAGTAAATATAACCATGTAATTACTTTTTACTCGTAGGCCTATTCAAAATTTTACTCTGCATATTACCCGACAGCTTTTTTTATCCGAAATGTTCGAGAATCTGTGTTTTAAGGTGTAAATTTAGATAGCCTACGAATTGAACAAAATGTGCAGAACAAAATTGCACAGAAATCTTACTTGTAGGAAATTCTCGGAGGGAAAGCTTTCCAGCTCTTTGCTGCCACAGCCTACAAGTGATTAATGTTGTGACGCTGTTTAACATATCATTCTATTGCAATTTTAGCTACCCACAATGCTTGTTTAAGAAGAATAGCCTAATTTATCAATAAAAGAAGAGTAAAAACACGTTTTGTAAACTTTTTTTTTATCAACAAATTATTTTTCCGTTTCAGCGCATCAATTATAGCTACTGCAGGGAACGGCACAATCTTTGCTCTTCGAAGTGGATCAGATAAAGCCCAGAGATTTTCGGTCCATCTTACAGCAGCAGCCACGGTGCCGGCTCCGGCACTTGGTTTCCGTCTGAGGCGAGGCCACTTGGGATAGCCGGTAAGTTCAGCTCCGAAAACAAACACACACGGGTCTCGCATCATTTTGCATCTCGCACATATTCTGCTTCGTAAATGTTGCTCGAGCGACGCGCTGTTTAGCCAACCCTACTGCGGTGAGAAACACATCATTCATTCACGTGAATTTGTTCACAACAGGTTGCCAAACATAAGGCTTTGGTAAGCACGGGTATTTCGAAGGAGCATCTGTGTTATTCCATTTGTAAGCACTGAAATATATTGTCACCTACAGTGAAAGTCATTTAAAAAATAGTTTCAAATATGTATCTCACAAGTTAAATGCTGAAATGGTTATGCAGTATTTCGTATCTTTATTATGCTTCCATCTTGTGTTTGTAACCATTAACATATTGTAAAGACAAATGTATTAATTTACAGATAATTCAGATACACGTTTTGTGTTCTTTAGGCTAACAATTTTTTAGTTTTTATACTACTAAAAGCAAAGGCATTTCTCTCCTTTCCTCCGAGTTCCTGCTCTGCCCCTTCTCCCTCCCCACTGTGTTCTTCCCTATCTCGTCCACCTCCTGTGCACCCCTGGTTGCTACAAACGTGTACACAATAATAACAGCAATATATATATCCATCTATCTCTCTATCTGGCTTGTCGACGGTGTGGAGAGTGCCTGGGAGCCTGAGAGTAAGGAAAGGTCAGTTAATCGATGGTGCCCAATTTGACAAATCCAAGTGAGTCTTATCATCCGCAGTATTTAGGGGCGATAGAGGGCCTACGAGATAACTGTTTAATCCTGACGGCAACTGCAAGGGGAGAAGAGGAGATAGAAATGTCTGTGAGAGAGAAAGAGACAGTAGGCTTGAGAGAAAGTTGCAGAGACTAATATAGACGAGAGGGTGTAGGTTAAATAAAAGAGTTCAGAGGTTAGACATTTTGGAACAGATAGGAGAGTGTAGAGAGAAAGAGAGCCAAACTAAATTCTAAATATATTTTATCAGTACTTCAAATTAAAGCCTTGGTTATTTAAAGGAATAATTCACCATAAAATTAAAATTCTGTCATCATTTACTCAATTCATAACGTTCTAAACCTGCACAAAAACAGCTATTGTGAAAAATGTTTTTGGTCCATATAATAAGTCATTGTGGTCCAATGTTGTTTTGGACCCCACTGACTTTCAATATATGGACAAAATCAGTTTGTTTCGTTTATTTATTTATATAGCAGCTTACAGGCTACCACAGTTCCAAAGTGCTGTAGCCTACATTGCAATAAAAAGCAACAGAACAATAAGACAAAACATAAAACCATCCATGTACTATTGTACTAAAATGCCAAAGAGTACAGATAAGATTTTAAGCGTTCCTTAAAAACATTTAGAGTCAAGGAAGATCTAACATCCAATGGCAGATTATTCCGCAATCTAGGACCAGCGACAGAGAAAGCACAATCACCCTTCAGGGATACTTCAGTTGAAACATTCTTCAATATTCTGTTGTGTTCTGTAGAAGACAGTCAAACAGGTTTGAAATGACATGTGCGTGAGAATATGGCAATTTAAAAGAACCTCAGAAAAGGTAGCTTTTTATGATTGTTCATATGAAGGACTCAAGCAAACACACACCCTAACACTTGTTGGCCATGAGAGGAGCTTAGTCAAGTACACAGCCTCCTACTCTTGTCCTCTCTCACCATCTCAATACCAGCTCAATGTAATTCGATTGAGATTAGTTGCACTGGCATGACAGCAGATCCCGTATTGCCAAAACACTTAGGAGGCAATGACAGTCTCCCATCGACATGTGCTAATACAAGACTCCACGACTGGCCATGCATCACGACTACAGCGTACACACACAGCAGAGGGGTTTGAGTGTGTGTGCACTTGTGAGTAAGTGAGCTCATAACTCGGACAGAGCTAGAGATGAAAGTAAAAGATAAGAATATATCAGCGAAGAGCATAAGCGAGACAGAGAGACAAATGGCATAACAGGATTGAGTTATAATGTGCAGAAGAAGCAGAAACTGTGCTTGGGAAAGACGGAGCAATAGACGGACAGGGAGACTGATGGTGACTGAGGTAAAGTGCGGGAGAGGGAGACGAAGAGTAAGTGGGTCGAGAGGATGGATGAGGACAGGAAAGGGAGAAGGCACAGCTGAGAAACAGCAGCTTTACAAGAGCGGAGATTAAGGCAACATGTCCCCGGTCAGTCATTAATCCGGTTTAAAAGCAATTAAGCTAAGACTCTGTGAGAGAGAGACTGAGAAAGAGAGAGCGAGATAAAAAGAGAAAGAGAAAATGTGATTATTTTGGGTTTATTTGGATCTTTAGCACATACAACTTGTGTAAGGAGTAAGGAATAAGACACAGAACAACCTTGATTATTGTCCCCAATGCTTCAGTCTTTCTGTCCAGCATTGTCTCATTCCTCATCCTTAGTGTGCATCATTGTCATTGATGTTCCAGATGTGTATCACGGGCTGCAGGTCGACACAGGGCCTCACCACATGTGTAATGTTTCTGCGTCCATGGGGAGATTGTGGTACAGATAGCGCTACCACCTGACAGATACACAACAGAACATAAATCACATCTGGAAGCTCTTGCATGCACTCAAAGAGACAGTTTTATCACACAGTCTGTTCTACAAAGTAATTAACAACTATGCAAGCAGGGAAAGGTCAAAGCAGAGAGATGCTGAATGGAGAGTGAAATTCAGATTCAGAGTCCTGTGATTTAAAAAAAAAAAAAATATATATATATATATATATATATATATATAAACATGTTCAGATTTAGTCTTTAAATTGACCACCCATTGTTGGGGAACAGAATCATTAAGGCTTTCGGTGACTTTAAGGCTCGTTTACATTTGTCAGGATTATGCGCCTTTTAAAATTGAATTGAGAGTGCATTTTCAATTAAGTTGCTGAATTTGAGTTGAGGCAGCAAACAGGATGCAGAATTGCATCCGAATTCAAGTGAACTGAAATTCAAAGAACAAATTTTTAACTTGAAAATCAAGTTTGATTAAGGCAAACTTTAAATGTTGACTTGACATGGCCTCATTTGAAAGTTTTGAAAAAAGCTTTGAAGTTTGAAGGTTTGTAAGCCAAGATATATATAGATAGATGATAGATAGATGATAGATAGATAGATAGATAGATAGATAGATAGATAGATAGATAGATAGATAGATAGATAGATTCCTCTTCCTGTCATTTTCGATTCAACTTCCTGTTTTTGACCAATTCAGTCAAATTCACACTCGTTAATTGAAAGGGAGCCAGTTCTTCATTTCTGAATATTGCCCAACCCTGACATATGTATTATTGGTTGCACCATTGGGTGCATTTTATTTCATTTATTTAACAGGGACCATGCACAACACAGATGTTGTGCCAGAGTTAGCAACATTTTTGTTTCATCTTCAAAAAAGTAAGTATTTGTGCTGCCTTAAAGGTGACCTATAATTCAAAATTGAATTTACCTTGGTATAGTCAAATAACAAGAGTTCAGTGCATGGACATGACATAGAGTGAATCTCAAACTGGACTGTTTTCGCGTTCTCATTTAATTCACGTTTATGAAAAACACCTCTGAAAAACGGTCGGTTCTCCACACAATACCGACTGTGACGCAATAGTCGGGATCATTAATATGTACGCCTCCAAATATTTGCATAATGCCAGCCCTCAATGCCAGGTGGATCTGCGCAGCCGAAGCTGTTTCCTCAACTTGGGCCAATACAGAGCTGGCCTCGGATCGAGCTACCAAGCAACACTTTCTGATGTGTAATTGTTCAAGTTCAGACAGGTAATCTTTCTCTCAAAATCGTTCAATACTGTTTATGCATCTGTAAGTCAAGCCAGCGACTAAAATATCAGCTTCACATCGTTTCTTTTAGTAGGATGAAAATAATCGTATTTAAATTGTGAACAAATTATATACAGAAAGCGATTAAAGAACAATCTTTCCACACAGCGCAAGTTTATCTGGACACTTGCCAAACTCGTTATGAAATCAATGACGCACGTTACTGCACAACGAAGCTCTTACTGTATTTACATCATCGTGTTTGCATTGGGGAAAGCAGAGAGAGAGCAGAAACTGCTTTGCAATGATAAGATCTTCATTCTCGCGATCAACAGACTGTCATCTGCTCAATGCTCATCACGGCAACATTTTATGTGATGGGAATAGATCTAAATACTTTAAAAACATCTCACGATTCGTTAATCTCGATAGCTGTTATAGTAAAAACGTATAATAGCAGTAGTAAAAGTATTGGGGAGAGAGTTTCACAAGTAATGCGTAGCTTTTTCATATGCAAGCATGTCAGCCAATCACAGCAGTGGCCGCGGTTACACTGAATCCCACAGCCATCCCAAAATTATGATTATTTTTTATCTAAAAAACATACTAACATTATAAGGGTAACCCAGGAAACATAAAAAAACAAAAAAAAACATTCTAGGGCACCTTTAAAAATGTACGTTTATTCAGCTTGAAATATAAAGTTCTACTTAGTGACAACTTGGATATTTAAGTTGACTAAACCTAAAATTTTAAGGCAGCACAAACACTTACTTTTTTAAGATGGAACAACATTCTTTTGTACAGTGTATATATAATTTGCATCTGTGGTCCACATTAGTAACATTGGACAAAGAAAGAGAGAGATATCTTTCAAACATGACGGATGAAGTCCGTCTCATTTTCCACTTTACCCAAAGTGAAAATACAAAAGTGTTGACATAGATTTTGTGGAGCGTTGTTCATTGTTGACCAGGATGGAGTGCTATCGACTGGCTCTTCCTGCTGAGGGATCGCTGTGCAGCCCTGAGGCCAAACCCACAGTGGCATTTAATACACTGCACTGGTGACCATACTGCCACACTGCTCACGGTGTGTCAGTGTGAGTGTGTGTGTGTGCTCTTATAGACTCAATCACACACACATATATACTCACTCAAGTTTAAATCTATTCAAAGACTACATGCAATTCTTCAAAAAGACAAAC